GTGAGTGATGTGTACATAAAAGGTCGCATAAAATAATGGCCTCAAGGGGACCATTTGGTCTCTGTTATGTGGCACTCTAAGCTGTTTGGTGTGCGCTGGTAAAAGTTAGTGCCATGGCGTGAAGTATACCCCACTATGTGATCGGGTGGCTGTTCCAGGAGGTTGTGTGTTTAGTGGGTAGTGGTTAATGCTGTGGTGTGGTATGCCTTCCCTACTGTTGTCATGGTGGTGGATGTGCAGTGTGGCAAGGGTCTGGTTACCAGGTGCATAGTGTGCCCGTCTAGTTGCCGCTGGGGGGTTTATGAATCTCGTGTCCGTTTATGGTAGACGGGGGGGTGAGGGAGGAGAGGTTTTTTGTTTTTTTTTACAGGCTGGGTGGCCGATGTATGTGTGCATGGTATGCAGTGAACTGGCTGCAATCTTTTGTGTGGATACAGTAATAGTATAAGATTTAGGTTGTGGTAAGCCTAATCAGCAGGACATGCAAGACAAGTAAACGATTGTAACACTGGAGGAGTCTTAAGGGGTTAACACTGTTTGGGTTTGGTCAGACAGTTCCCGTCAAGGAGTTGGTATGGATGTTATTGCCCCTGAGGGCTTCATGTTGTGTCATCAGCGGGGGAACCGTAACTGGGCCGTTGCGGGACAAAAGTTTTCACCCTTGCCGGGTCCCATCTGTGCCGCGGCTTGGAGGCTCCGGAGTGAGCCGGGGGGCGCGTAGCCTCCCGGGGTAGTCCCAGTGTAGGAAGTAAGTCCTCCGCTCCCTGCATGTTGTCAGGGTATTTGTATCGGCAGACATCTTGTGCTATGATAGAAATTAAAAGTGTATATTCTGAGTCACTCTGAACAGACCAGACTCCATTTTGTTATTTTCAAGTTAACAAAAAGACACAAGATTTCTTTCTGTAAAACTAACCACTTTGCCAGAGCTAAAGGAATGCATTGTATATACAAACCAAGTGATAAGAAGAATATAATCAATTCTAAACCCAGACAATTGTGACAGAGAAGATTAAATAATAACATTTTACTGTCTATATGTGTAAGGTACCATTGTAAGTTATGGGTCAAAACACATAGTCTGGACAAAACTTAAAGAAACCCTTTGATCTGAAGGGATACGTAAGTTATAGCAAAGATAACGCAAAATGACGTCAAAATAGCCACCAGGAAAAGTTAACTCTTTCCTGGATAGGTATGTTTAGTGGGACAAGACTGCCCTCTATAGACCAAATACCTAATTTGCGATCTGGAAGATAACCACACCTCTAGTGCTTCTATTGGGTTATCAACTGATGATGTACAGAGAGTCTGGCCCTTTAAAAGTTAAGACAAAGGGAAGACAGGGAATGCAAAGGAGGAAAAAGAGGAGAGAGGAATTGGAAGTTTGGGGACTCCAACTGGGACATGCAGAGAAACCCAGGACAACATCTGAGACTAACACTCTACTCTTAAAACTCTAACACTTAGAATTTCACTGACTTTATAACCAACACCACCTTTCACCACAACTCATGCACCTACAGACATCCAAATAAGCTCCTGAGACTATCTACCAATTGGAGGAAATATCTACTCAACTGGTAATTATACTGGTTTCATTTAATTAATTTAAATTAATTAAAGTTTATTAATAGCATGATATATATGACTGGATAAAGCACGGTCAGATTTCCATATTAAGAAATCTTAGTTAACTAAAGAATATATAGTTATAAACATTCCATTCTGTAGGTGGAATTAAGAATAATTATATATTGATGTGATATTATCACATGTTAGCATACCGTTGTTTTTATCCAGGTGTATTGATTTGTTCTAATTTAAAGGACCACTCTAGGCACCCAGACCACTTCAGCTTAATGAAGTGGTCTGGGTGCCAGGTCCTTCTAGGGTTAACCCATTTTTTTATAAACATAGCAGTTTCAGAGAAACTGCTATGTTTATCAATGGGTTAAGCCAGCCTCCAAATCCTCTAGTGGCTGTCTCATTGACAGCCACTAGAGGCGCTTGCGTGCTTCTCACTGTGATTTTCACAGTGAGAGCACGCAAGCGTCCATAGGAAAGCATTGTAAATGCTTTCCTATGCGACGGGCTGAATGCGCGCGCAGCTCTTGCCGCGCGTGCGCATTCAGCCGGCGGGGAGGATCGGAGGCGGAGAGGAGGAGGAGAGCTCCCCGCCCAGCGCTGGAAAAAGGTAAGTTTTAACCCTTTTCCCCTTTCCAGAGCCGGGCAGGAGGGGGTCCCTGAGGGTGGGGGCACCCTCAGGGCACTATAGTGCCAGGAAAACGAGTATGTTTTCCTGGCACTATAGTGGTCCTTTAAGATAAGATATCTTTTAGACAAATTAAAAACAAAGTCTGCTTATATAATCATGGTAGATTCTCTTATTGGATGGTTCCAGGAAATGACTAATGAACTGGTTTAAATGTTATTTTTTTTAAAATTACATAAGAATAGATCTTAACTATCTAGGAGGTCTAGCCAGCATTGAAAGGGTTATTCTAACTGTTAGCCAGGGTTTTATGGCCCTTCGCTGTGAAAAGCTTTGCTGTACTCTCTGTGAAAGATAGTCATGAATCAGAAGACTTGTCAGAAAATGCTGTTTAGCCATTGAAATGAATATACCTATTCCTTTGTATTGCATACCATTTTATACTGGATATTCATTGATTATTATCACGCATGTTACATATTATTATTATTATTATTAATTAATTTGTTATTATAAATGAAATCTATTTTTATACATTATGATATTATTTATATGAAATACTTCTCACTTAACACGATAACGATATTTGGGATCTGAGAATTGAATTAGTGGGCAATTCTCACTGTTACTATTATTATCCCATAAATATCCCCACAATGTCTAAGGCCTCATGTGTGTTCTCGCCGTGTATCACCAGCAGGGAGCGGTTGAGACGCCACCTGTACCTCGTTCCTTGTTGTTGAAGGAGTGCTGTGAATGGCCGAAACGACCTCCTCCAGGCCAAGGTGCTGCCAGACAAGTCTGCAAAAAAGGAGAGCGACGTGGATTCAAAAGGGTACTGGGCATGGTTTTTAACCGCTGCCATAGTTGCAGTTCTGTCCTCCCTTCTCTGAAAGCGGAGTATTGTGTGTCTGATGGCCGCCGCTGGGGCCTTGGCAGGTTTGGGGACCCTGTAGATGCCATCTAGTCTTATCGTTTTGGCTTGCTTTTGTGGTAGCAGTGCTGCTAAGAGTCTTCGCACAAAGTGCGACAATTCTTCCGCCGGCATATCATCAGGGAGTCCCCGTATCTTCAGGTTAGTCGCTCTGCGTGCGTCCTCCATTGCGGCGAATCACCATTCAATGCTCTCCGCTTTACTTTGCAGGTTCTGTATCTCCCGCTGCATGGAGCTGATGTGAGCCGCTGTGTCTGTGGAGGCGTTTTCCAGGGTGGTCGGCCTCCCGGTTATTCCCTGGAGGTCCGTGCGGAGTCCCGCCATTTCTGCCTGGAGTGTGTACTGGAGACCTGCCAGCAGCTCCTTGAGCACTGCTGTCGTGACAGGCGCATTGTCTGGGTCCGGAGGTTTGGTAGTCATTACCGGGCGAACAGGAGAGTCGCGTGCATCCTCTCCCTGAGAGAAATTGTCCAACAGGTCGGAGTAAGTAGCTGGGTATTCGGCCATTTCGGGCCCTGTCGCTTCATAAGCCTGCTTCCACATGGCTCCAATGTCCAGACCCATTCTCGGTTGGTCGGGCTTTTGCTTCTTCTTTTTGCGGCCCATGCTGGTTCTGCTTCTGTATCACAGTTTTTGGCTGTTTTGGTCGGTTGATTTCGGTCAGATTAGGGTAATTTTAGTAGAAATCGCAGGAGCTGTAGTACCATGCAACCACTCTGCGCTGTAGCTAGGCTCCGCCTTCCGGAGCAGTTTGTTTTTAACCACTCTTCTCTGCCCTATTTGAAATCTGTTAGTTCCTGTTGGCAGTTGGTGGAATGTTCGAGGGATTTTAAAGATTTGAAAGCTCTTCTCTGCCCTTGCTGTAGAGTGAGTGAACCACACTCTAACCTTTCCACAGTTACTCCAGCCACTCCAACCACACAACAGTTACTCAAGCCACTCCACCCAGTTACTCTGCCCATTCCAGTTGTAGACTACTGGTGGAGGCAAGAACACTTCACACAATTTCCCCAGAAATTGTAGTTTTTCTAGTTTTATTTATTTCTACATTTGATTTTATACCAGTGAGCACTATTTTGAGCTTTATTCTTTGCATACTAATCTACAACGATGACCCACTGTTTGGACCCAAAATAAAATGTATAAAAACGATAGCAGCAATATCAACAATCCTATAAGAGGAGAAAGCAGCAGTTACAACATGCACCTGCAACAAAAAAAATTAACTACTAATAAAAAAAAAAAAATGATTTACCTGTCAAATCCTACTCTGAATTATGGCCCAGGTAGGGGTAGAATTAGTGAATGCATATAGCGATTAATAAATAACAGTATTGTTCTGCAATTAAATAAAAAGAAAACCAATCTCTGCAGTTTTTTTCTTCTAAAATTACCCTATATCTGTAGTGGCAGGATTATATATATAAGCAAACAGCTCTCCTATCTAATATAGTCATATATCTCTACAGGGATTAATTCTTCCTGACAAAATAGATATATATTACATATAAATTGTATTATCATATCCAGGAAGCAGTGCAAATGTCATTGCAGATTGCTGTTTGTGGCAGGGTGAATTAAAGGAGTCTAGAGTCTCTAACTGATTCTGGGGTTTTGATAGGTGAAGTACCACTCCATAGCTTGGTAATGCCAGTAATCTCTTTATTATCAGGACTGCAAATGGAAAAGCTAGGTGCTATGCATTCTGCTAGTTTTTCCATTCACACAGACTGAGGAAGAAGGTCCAGTTTGGCTGTGTAGGTTTATAAGATGTACACCTCCAGCAAGCAGTGTGTCCCAGCTGTCTCTCCAGCATGGGTTTGTTGCTGTCTCGGCCGATGACGTCACACACGCGCGACGGAACTCTTCAGCACGTTTGTTTTCCAGGAGTCTGCCAGCTATTCTGCGGGGATCATGCCACCTAAGGGCAAAGGGGGGAAAGGGGCAAAAGGTGAACGCAATATCTACAATTGTGAGGATATTATGTAACTAATTAGGACGCTATGACCATAAAAAGACCTATATTTCAGCGTTTATTCAGGTTTGCATTTACTGAACTCACAACTTGAATATTCCCCAAATGACTGAGCTACTGTCACAGTTTAAAAGTTTTAGCCTAAATTTTGCCATTGTGATTTTACTTTGCTATCATTCGATTTTTAGTGAAAAAAATCCCATGGGTTATTGCATTTGTGTATGACACAAGATCATTGGGATGAATAGCATGATCAGGGTCCATGGCTTGCCTTAGCATATTTTAGGTAAAGGCCCATGGTTGTGGTAACTGTAGTAGAGTGCATGCTTGGATGTTATGGTCAGTAATCGCTTTTAGTGTTAGTAGCTAAGTAAATGCTTTCTGGGCTCCAAGGCTTGCAGTATAAGTCAGTATTGTATGGTTTGCAGGGTTCATAGCAGTTATAGTTCATGCTTATGGGATTAGCTGGTAGTCATTTGAAAATATGATGATTTACTGGTATAGCAAAATTATGTAATTTATATGTAAATCCATAACTGAATGCCATTTCTGCTAAAACAAATATAAGCAGAATATTTTACTATTTTTTTTTTTTATGTATTTGTGTTGTATCAGCCACCATGCACACTTATGCTTTTATTATTAATATTATTACCACCATTTATATAGCGCCAACAGATTCTGTAACACTTTACAATATTATGAGAGGGGGGATGTAACTATAAATAGGACAATTACAAGTACTTACAGGAACAATAGGTTGAAGAGGACCCTGCTCAATTGAGCTTACAGTCTATAGGAGGTGGGGTTTAAGACACGTTAGGACAGGAAATATGAATCAAATAGGGTGGGAGTGAAGCAGAGCTGGAGGAAAGAGTAAAGCACTGTCCTATAGGAGAGAGCAAGAGACAGGTATGTAAGGTAGAGGTTACTCTGGGAGGCCATAAGCTTTCCTAAAGAGATGGGTTTTAAGGTGCTTCTTAAAGGATTGAAGACTAGGGGAGAGTCTGATGGGGGTAGGCAGGCTATTCCATAGGAAAGGAGCCGCTCGCGAGAAGTTCTGCAAGCGTGAGTTGGCTGTACGGGTGCGAGCAGTGGTCAGGAGGTGGTCACGGGCAGAGCGGAGGGAACGAGGAGGGGCATACCTTTTGGATCTGTGAAGAGATATAAGAGGGGCTAGAATTGGTCAGTGCTTTAAATGTATGGGTTAGCACTTTGAATTGACTCATATAGGATACAGGGAGTCAATGTAAGGACTGGCAGAGGGGTAAGGTGTGAGAGGACCGACCAGAAAGGAAAATAAGTCTGGCGGAGGCGGCATTCATTACAAACTGTAGCGGGGCAATACGGCTTTTGGGGAGACCAATCAGGAGAGGGTTACAATAATCCATGCGGGAAATTACTAGAGCATGGACAAGAAGTGGTCATTGTGGTAGAAGACTGCATGTGCCGCGTTTCCGTTTAAAAGGCTGCACATTCGGAGCAATATGCATTTTTTTGCCAGGGGCTGGTTACATATGGTAATTCTGTGTAAAAAATTTACATCTACTGTTCACATGCACAACATGAAGAATTTCGACCCTTGCGGTTAGCACCTATCTCGCCTCCCCCTTCATTTTAGTTTCTTGTGTTTTTTTTTTTTTTTTAAAGATCTTCCCTACCTCTATCAACCCTTACAGGCTCAGAATGTGTGCACAATGGAATATTTTTCCTCTTTAATTTAAAACATTAAAGTATATTATAACAAAAAAAGTGTCATGGAGGAGTTAGAGACTGTTCTAAATGCAGGGAAGTAACTTCATTGATGCTATCCTGCAAAAAAACCTAATCTTTAACCCCTTAAGGACCAAACTTCTGGAATAAAAGGGAATCATGACATGTCACACATGTCACGTGTCCTTACGGGGTTAAATATTCCTATATCAAGGTGGAATGTGGACTCACTAAAGAATTTCACAAGTGCCTTCCTGACATATCCATCTTCTTCCTCAAATATCTGCAAATTACAAGTTACCACTGTTTAGTAATTTAATGAGGTGAATTAAAATCACTTACCTTTTATCCTTAACAGTAACAGAATTAATTTTAACATGACTATTTACCTATTAACATACTATTTACCTCTACAAAGACAATGGGTAGAGTATACCAAAATTAATAAACATTGAATGTTCTTTTTATTTGCTGTAGGTGGAGCAACTGGGGGTGAAGCACCTGATAAGAAAGCTCCAACACCAAAGGGCGGAACGTCAGTCAAGGTAATCATATTATTTTATAAAACTTTTAATGTGAAGAAGCGATCAGCGTAAATATTATCTATTTCAACGTCACAAGAATGTTCCGAATATACTGTTCAAGCTATAAGCACTCAGAAATACTACTCTTGGTTTTGTGCATGTATATGTTAAAGATGAGAATCGTGTATCTGTAAATCCTCTAACTCAGGGCTCCTCAAACTCCGGCCCCCCTGATGTTGCTGAACTACAACTCCCATGATTCTCTGGCTATCTATGTAATTCAAAGAATCATGGGAGTTGTAGTTCAGCAAAGTCTGGGGGGCCGGAGTTTGAGGACCCCTGCTCTAACTGATTTCTGTATGTAGGGTTTCTAAATTTATTAGGCAGGTTGGTATAAGGAGTTAATGGGTCACTCAAGGTCCATGGGACACCCATTCCTTTTTTAGTGCATTTAAAAAACAAATTGATGCTAAAGCTGTAAACCACAAGCTTCATTAGTGAACTTTTTCTTGAGCATAAATTGAGTGGGTCGAACATGATGCATTTTACACCCCATATGCCTGTATGATGTCTGAGCACTGGAGGATCACACCCTCGTGGTGCTCTGATGGACAGCTGGGATGGACAGAGCTGCCAGACCATCCAGTGACAACTTGCTTACTTACAGCTTGTGGTGGGCAGTCAAATAGACATAGTGATTTGTTGCAGGGACGATTATGATGACCTGGTGTATCTCAGATTGCTGTTTGTGGCAGGGTAAATTAACTTGTTTTGAAAACACAACTCACATAGTTCAGTAATGCAGGATGTACAGAATTGATTATCTTGAGAATTTTATCTGGTGTTTCTGTAGAACCTTTTGTTTTCCCTCTGTGGCTTCGGAAACTGTAACGAAGTTAAAGTTAACTTATTTTTTCTCTCAGGTGAGGCACATCCTGTGTGAAAAGCATGGGAAGGTTATGGAAGCCATGGAAAAACTAAAGTCAGGAGTGCGATTCAGTGAAGTGGCGACACAATACAGCGAAGACAAAGCCAGACAAGGGGTGAGGACTTAATATTTAGACTTAAAGTCAAACTTGATTAGCAGCTGATGTAGCTAATTTGCAGTTATGTTCATGGGTGGCAAAAAATAAAAATTGTAATAATTATACTGGATAGAAACATAGAATGTGACGGCAGATAACCATTTGGCCCACCTAGTCTGCCCAATTTTTTTTTTAAAATACTTTCATTGGTCCCTGGCCTTATCTTATAGTTAGGATAGCCTTATGCATATCCCACGCATGCTTAAACTCCTTTACTGTGTTAACATCTACCACTTCAGCTGGAAGGTTATTCCATGCATCCACTACCCTCTCAGTAAAGTAATACTTCTGGATATTATTTTTAAACCTTTACCTCTCTAATTTAAGACTGTCCTCTTGTTGTGGTTTGTCTTCTTTTAAATATAGTCTCCTCCTTTACTGTGTTGATTCCCTTTATGTATTTAAATGTTTCTATCATATCCCCCCTGTTTCGTCTTTCCTCCAAGCTATACATGTTAAGATTCTTTAACCTTTCCTTGTAAGTTGTATCCTGCAATCCATGAACCAGTTTAGTAGCCCTTCTCTGAACTCTCTCTAAAGTTTCAATATCCCTCTGGAGATACTGTCTCCAGTACTGCGTACAATACTCCAAGTGAGGTCTTCCCTCTTTCTACTGCTAATATCTCTCCCTATACAACCAAGCATTCTGCTAGCATTTCCTGCTGCTCTATTACATTGTCTGCCTACCTTTTTAAGTCATCAGAAATAATCATCCCTAAATCCCTTTCCTCAGATGTTGAGGTTAGGACTCTATCAAATATTCTGTACTCTGCCCTTGGGTTTTTACGTCCAAGATGCATTATCTTGCACTTATCCATATTGTCAGTTGCCGCAACTCTGACCATTTTTCTAGTTTACCTAAATCATTTGGCTTATCACTCCTGGAATATCAACCATGTTACATATCTTAGTATCATCAGCAAAAGACATACCTTACTATCATGACCTTCCGCAATATCACTAATAAAAACATTAAAGAGAATGGGTCCAAGTACAGATCCCTGAGCTACCCCACTGGTGACAAGCCCATGCTTCGAATATACTCCATTGACTACAACCTTCTGTTGCCTGTCACTCAGCCACTGCCTTACCCATTCAACAATATTGTAATCTAAACTTAAAGATTGCAGTTTATTGATAAGCCTTCTATGTGCAACAGTGTCAAAAGCCTTACTGAAATCTAGGTAAGCAATGTCTACTGCATCACCCTGATCTATTATTTTAGTTACCCAATCAAAAAAAACAATAAGATTAGTTTGGCATGATCTCCCTGAAGTAAACCCATGTTGTCTCTGATCTTGAAATCCATGTGTTTTTTTAGATGTTCAACAATCCTATCCTTTAACATGGTTTCCATTACTTTCCCCACTACTGAAGTAAGGCTTACTAGCCTATAGCTGCCCAACTTCTTCCTACTACCTTTCTTGTGAATGGGCACAACATTCGCTGAATATACCTACCTCTACCTTGAACTTAAGGGTTAAGGGTAGTGTCACCCCTAATAATAGACACACACATCAGCAATACTTTGAGCCAGTTATTAAAAGGCTCTCAAAAAGGTGAGCACTGTTTTTTCTGTACATATATTGCACTGTGCACTAAGGGTATAACAATCTGCACCCAGAAGTTCTGTTTTATTTCTTTCTCATTTGGAGATCCATCTTTGGTTGGAAGGAAAAGAAAAGAGAAAACTGCATCAATACGGTCTTGTTGTCTACCTTAAAGGCACGGATGCTTAAGTGTTTAGAGCCTATATCCATATAAAAGGCTCTAAAAAATGTGAGTTTACCTGTACATATTTAAATCTAAACTCAATATATGGTCATACAATATTACTCTATGTGCCCTTTTGTTTTTTCTTTTTTTGCATGTATACCTTTTACCTTTACCCTGAGTGGTAAGTGTAAGTTTATATATTTGAGCACTTTGGAACTACATCTATAGCGCTACACTCGTACCAAGTAGTGGGAAAGTTTCTATACTGACCCACTCGTGGTTATTTTAGTTTTTTGCATGTCGATAGTGGGTTTTGGATTACCCTTTTGAGTGTTTTATAGCAGCTTAACAAAACTACTTTTATTATATAAAAATAAGCGCCACTAATTTCCACACCTCTTTTCTGTGTTGTTCACAACATTCGCTGTATGTCTGTGTATTATTTCTTATCCTTACCTCTTATTATACACAGTTACATAGACTGAAAAGAGACATGTGTCCATCAAGTTCAGCCTTTCTCACATTTGTTTTTTTGCTGTTGATCCAAAAGAAGACAAAAAAACAGTTTGAAGCACTTCCAATTTTGCAACAAACTACTGCCAGAATGGCAGTCAGATTTATCCTTGGATGAAGAAGCTATTACCCTACAGTTGAGAAAAAATTTATCCTTGAATATTCTGTTTTTGCAAGTATGCATCTAGTTGCTGTTTAAACATCTGCACGGACTCTAATAAAACCACTTCTGCAGGCAGAGAATTCCATATCCTTTGTTCTTATGGTAAAAAACACTTAGACTAAATCTTCTTTCTTCCAGTCTAAACGCATGACCTTGTGTCCTATGTAAAGTCCTGTTTGTGAATAGATTGCCACACAATGGTTTGCATTGGCCCGGATATATTTGTATGTTATCATATCCTCTCTGAGGCGACGTGTTTCTAAATTAAAGAGGTTTAAATTTGTTAACCTTTCTTCTTAGCTAAAATGTTAAAAAGAAAATAATTGATTAATTTTGTAGCCTGCCTTTGCACTCTTTCTAGGGCCATAATATCCTTCTTTAGAACAGGTGCCCAAAATTGCACAGCATATTCAAGATGTAGTCTTACCAGTGATTTATAAAGAGGCAAAATTATATTCTCATCCCGAGAATTAATGCCCTTTTTCATGCATGACAATACTTTACTGGCCTTAGCCACTGCTGATTGACATTGCACATTGTTGCATAGTTTGTTGTGTATAACAATTCCCAAGTCATTTTCGTGTGTTGTTATCCCTACTTTGCTTCTGTTAACCCCTTAAGGACACATGACATGTGTGACATGTAATGATTCCCTTTTATTCCAGAAGTTTGGTCCTTAAGGGGTTAAGGGTATAAGTTACTTGTGCATTCTTTACGCCGAAGTGTGTAACTTTGCATTCTTCTACATTAAATTTCATCTGCCATTTGAGTGTAGTCCCCCAGTCTATCTTAATCCCTCTGCAGCAAAATAATGTCTTGCTTACATTGTATTACTTTACAGAGTTTTATGTTATCTGCAAATACAAAAACATGACTTGCAATGCTTTAATGCCCTTTTTCATGCTTATCTCTTCTGGTTGTCTCCCTGCTGCCCACAATGCTCCCTTACTTCAGCTGTGGGGATAACAGCCCCCACAAACATCCCAGAGCTGATGTGCAAAGTAATCTGGTAACTTGTTGGCAGCACTTTTTATCTGGCCTTTGGAACTACCTTTCCTGGACATCAGGAAATGTGGTGAATGTATATCTTGCGTGTCAACAAAGAGGCCTGTTTTACACATTCATAGGTTCTTCATTGCATCCCTTTGGTTTGGCATCCCTGTGTAAAATTTTAATTTTATACAGAGATATCATGTAGGCGATATGGTACTGACATAACAGACATATATTTTTTCTTATATCTATATGGATTAGGGTATATACCCTCACTCAAGATTCTGTGGACTAATGTATATCGTATCTTCAGAAGGATATTGATACTTTAGAGAAAGTTCAGAGAAGGGCTACTAAACCAGTTCATGGATTGCGGGATAAAACTTACCAGGAAAGGTTAAAGGATCTTAACATGTATAGCTTGGAGGAAAGACGAGACAGGGGGGATATGATAGAAACATTTAAATACATAAAGGAGACTATATTTAAAAGAAGAAAAACTATCCCAAGAGGATATAGTCTTAAATTAGATGGGCAAAGGTTTAGTTTAAAAATATCAGGAAGTATTACTTTACTGAGAGGGTAGTGGATGCATGGAATAGCCTTCCAGCTGAAGTGGTAGAGGTTAACACAGTAAAGGAGTTTAAGCATGCGTGGGATAGGCATAAGGCTATCCTAACTATAAGATAAGGCCAGGGACTAATGAAAGTATTTAGAAAATTGGGCAGACTAGATGGGCCGAATGGTTCTTATCTGCTGTCACATTCTGTGTTTCTATTATGAGTTTTGCTTGCAGAGATTGACACGAGATTCTATTAGCAGGAACTGTCCATGCATGTTAGCATGTATATCAGTGCACCTTCATACTCTAATGATGCTTGCTTATATTATAAAGTACATTGTGGTGTCAGATCTTTGGCACGTGCCATATGTTCTGTTCTTTACAGACATTGCTTCTATGAATGCATAGCCATTACAATAGTGCGATAATCATAAATTATTCTAATCAATAACCTAAATCTATCAATTTCTCTCCACTCTGTCTGTAAGATACGTTTGTGATTTTACTTTTTGTCAATTCCTTTAGGGAGACTTGGGCTGGATGACGAGAGGCTCCATGGTAGGACCTTTTCAAGAAGCTGCATTTGCTCTAGTTGTCAGCACAATGGACAAACCAGTGTATACTGACCCTCCTGTGAAAACCAAGTTTGGGTACCACATTATCATGGTGGAAGGAAGAAAATGAAGAAAAACTATTACATTGTGGATCTTGGTTTGTATTATTGGTTTACTCACTAAGCAGTGAATGGAAAACTGAATTGAAAATTCTGCACCACAGCTATCATCACAGCTTGGCTATTTGTCTGACATTTGCACTACTTTTTTCAATTCTCTGTTTTGTGAATAAATCCCTGCGTGGTCTTCCTCAAAGTGAATTCCTATGGTTTACATCTGTAATAAAATGAAAGTGTGGAGATCTTTTTTTTTTTTCCTGCTGTTTGAGGCTTCTATTACTATCGCATGAGAAAATGTTAGATGAGCTACATCTTAAAGGACCATTCTGGGCCCTATAACCGCTTCACCTCAATCGTCTTTTATAAGGTCTGGACGGCCTGGGTGCTGTCTTACCTTTATAGAGTTAAACCGTTTTTGAATGGTTTAAGCCCAAATTTCTCTTGATGGTGCTTGACCCCCTGTCTCGCCTCCAATGCAGCTGTTGGGCACCAGAGGGCCAACTTTATGGTTAAACTGTTGGAAAGCCGTTAAACCCTTAACGGCAAGACTGCCCATTGAATCTTCTGCTCTCATAACTTCATTGGGCTTAAGTTGTCATGGAGATGTTTAAAAAGTGTTCCCTTTTAAAGGGACTTTCCAGGAACCAAAATAACTTTAAATGAACATTCCAAGCACAATAACCACTACA